TCAGGGATAAACAAAGGGTGTCTACTGAAGCTCCCACACAGTAAACAATTAGCCTTTCCGCAGTTTGTTGGTGGCTCTGCTTTCCAAACAGTCCTGCAGTGAGTTCTCAAGTGCCGGTTAGCGCTTCCTCAACTCAGGGCAGCTATGATGTACCTTGTGGGCAAAACACAAACAGCTGCACTGCAATATTAATGAACATATATACAGTGTACTTACTAATATATATGTATTAAATAAGGAAAATGGAAGCACATAAAATGAGTCTGTGCATTGATTGTTGATAAAGATAACCCCTTGGTGCGCAGGACTGGAGCACGCAGTGCTTTGCTCTAGGGGCAGTGTCCAGCACTAACCAACGTGGCTCAGAGCTGCCATGCAGAAGGAAACTATTACAACACGCAACAAAAGAGAAAACATGAAAGAGCAAGCATTTTCACAAATGAGGAAATTTTCCCCAAGCTCAGACGTGAAAGCTGGTTTCTCAAGGAAGATAACCACGAGGACTGCTGACTGCTGCAGGTTTGTGTTCACAGGCTAAAACACAGTGCACAAGAGAGTGCTCATTACATCACCGCATTCAAAAACAGACCAAGGGGTTGTACCATAGTATGTGTGTGCCTTAACATTCACAGAATACGCCAACAGGAGAAAACGTTTATACAAAGCATTCATTATCACTTAATTCGACTACACTAAATTACTCTTTTAAAACTTAATAGCCCTGAAATGTGCGGATGGATTCTGTACTGGCAATGCCTGCTCTAAGTCTGCTGATGTACCTGACCACAAATGTTGACTGATCAGCAATGCAAAAGGTCAGTCCAGTAGCTGAACTGACACAAGCTCCAGAGGCACAGAGGGCAGAGCTGGTGGCCTTCAGGGCAAAGGAGCAGTGGGAACAGGGAAGGGAATCTAGGGGCTACAGCTGCAGGACACCCAGCCATCTGTGATGGTCCTTACCCAGGACTGCTTTCTAGGGCCCATGTCTCCTAGAAATTATCAGGCCGCTCCAACGTTATCAAGCCATTCTGGCCAGGAGCTCACCCTGCTCCAGATCTATTTCTGACTCATCAAATCAGACAGAAGAGCTGGTAAGTAAAAGCGCTCCATGATGCTGCCTGTAATCTCAGGGCAGAAGAAACAGAGATACAGCAAGAGATAAATACCACTTCCCAAACCAGGACTGTGGAACCACATATCCAAGACTGCTGACACCATATATATATATTTTACAAGACGTCATACACAAACCCGAGGAGGAGGAAAAAAACAGCAACAACAACAAAAAAACCGACAGTGCCAGCAACCCGTCTGCGATTCCACTCGGTGAGGGTGCTCAGCTCCCAAAGTCATCACAGTCCCCCAGTGTTCTCTTACAGTGTGCAAGTGGCTCAGTGTGGGGCCAAAATCACGTGGTATCACCTAAACCTCCAAACGGCATCTCTACCTGATGCAAGGAGGGAAGCAGGGCTGTGCTTTGACCTTAAACAACTGGCTGCATTTGAGAAATGGAAAATGAGACTGGGTGTGGTGGCTCACGCCTTTATCCTAGCACTAGGGAGGCAGAGGCAAGATAACCTGAGATTGAGACCAGCCTGGTTTACATACAGAACTCAAGGACAGCCAGGACTACATAGAGACCTTGCCTCAAAACAACACAATTAAAACAAAAAAAAAAAAAAAAAAAAAAAGGAAAATGAGTCTTTCCAAAGAGTATTGACAAACTCCACTTTCTCAGTCCACACTAACCAAAGAACCAACTATACAAACACAGACTACTCATTCTGGTCCAAGGGTTCACATCATCAAAGAGCAATATAAGCTGAATTATTTTTTTTACCATATACTTTTATGGTATTTCACAGTAACTAAAGTGTTCTCATATCAACTGTTAGCATTTAATGAGTATAATAACCACTCAAAAAGACTGGATAGAGGTCAGGGAAGGACCTGTTGCTTTAGCAGAGGCCCAGGTTCAGTTCCCCTCAACCACTCCCAGCGCCAGTTCCCTGCCAGTTCCCTCCTCTGGCCTCCATGGCACAGCAAGCACATACTACACACACACACACAAACACACTCTTGCACATAAATACAGCTAATTAATTTTTCAGAGAGGAGATAAATACTTTTTTCAAATGTTAGGTTCAGCAACAGAAATAGAATGGGTTTTTTGGGTTTGTTTTTGTTTTTTCTTTTCTTTGTTGTTTTCTTTAAGAGAGTCTCATGTAGCACAGGCTGGCCTCAAATTTCTTCTGTCGCCAAGGATGACCTTAAAAATCTGGTTCTGCTGTGTCTACACCCTTCACAATGGACCTGGCACTAGGCTTGGTTTTACCCATGCTGGGTAAGCTCCCAGTCACTGAGCCACATCCCAGCCAAGAGCAAGAGGTTTTGATCATGACAGTTTGGGTTAAAATCACAGACACTTTATACAACTCTTTGGAGCCTTATTAAATTCAGAGTGTGCACATCTTCACAGTTTCTGAAAATACTGAAGAATTCAGTATCTCTTATGTAAAGAGCTCTCAATGTTTCCATCATTCCCAGGAAATAAAACTACAAGTTCACATGCCTACTTGACTAACAATAATGCTCAAAGCTGAGCACCTTCAAACTGCCAGCCCCATGCTAGAAGGCGGGAGACAGCTATGAGTTGGTCATTCCGTGAGTGTTCAAGTAGTCTTCAGATACTCCAAGTGCCACCCTGCTGCGGACTCAAAAAAGCATGGAGGAGGGAAGAGGACATCATATTCCTGGGTATGAGTGCAGCGGCTCTGAGAAGCCACGCTGGAAAGCTAGCTAAACTCGTTCAGACAGCAGCTTCCAAACATGTCTAATGGAATTCCTCTGTGTAGTTACCATAAACACCCAAAGACCTCGAATTCTTCTGAATGTAACTCATTCTTCTGAATATACTTTTAGAAATACTGACGTTGATTAAACTCATGTGTAATAGTAAAATAACAGCAAACATAAGACATGACCCAAAAAACTTACTTATATTGACTGTTAAACTTTATGTTTTGTGTTTTTTTTTGAGAGTGTGTCTCTAAGTGGCCATGGCTGTCTTGGAACTCACTATGTAGAACAGGCTGGCCTCAAATTTATGGAGAGCCACTTGCTTCTGCCTCCCAGTGCTGGGATTAAAGGCATGTGTCACCATGCCCAGCCCTTAATTTAAAAAAACAAAAAATGTCTTTATTTTTATGTTATGTGTATGAGTGTTTTGCCTGCATATATGGCTCCGCATCATGCAGGACTGAGGTCTACTGAAACCAAAACAGGGTACCTGATCCCCTGGAACTTGAATTACAGACTGTTGTGAGCCACCATGTGGGTGCTGGGGATTGAACCTGATACTCCGAAAAGCACCCAGTGCTTAACTGCTGAGCCACATCTGCAGGCGCTAGCTTTAGTTGTCATTTTTGAAATGAGGTCACACTGTTACCCTAGCTGACTTCAAACCAGCAATCCTCCTGCCCCAGCCTCCCAGGCAGCACCACGCTTGATTGCTAAAAGCTATCCTTTGAGATTACCAAATCATTGTTTTGTAGCTGGCCTTGAATGTATACATATTCTAGTATCGGGCTGTTTTTAGGCCACTAGAGCATTTTTATAACAAGATTTCAGAATAAGACTGCCTAAGGATTAAGAACTGGCACACAGTCATCTAATGGAAGGCAGGGAGAAAAAAAGGTTTTACTTTTTACAGGGGGAAGGTTTTACTGTTTCTAAGCTGGCTTGTATGAAATTATCTTATTCAACAAATCAACTTTCCAAAAATGTTAACCACCATGACCTCTGCTTTCATTAGTGGTGGACAACAGACAGAAAAAGAATAGAGCTAGTGAACTATCACCACCACGCCCCCACACACACACAAAGCAGTTAATTATGTAACAAGAAAAAGAAAGTGGACACAATTATCAGCATTTAGGCAGTCTTAAAATTTTCCACTGAAATTAAAATATTGGGGAGATAGCCAACTAGATTTTTTCAGGACCTCTGCTATGTGTCCAAAGAATCATAATTCTTCTGAGAAAAAAAAGGAAAAGTAAACAGTTGCCAGGATTGATGGCACATGTCTGTAATCTCAGAGGTGGAGGTTGAGGTAGGATTGCTGGGTGTTCAAGGCCAACCTGGGTTATACACAGAAGTAGAGGGACCCTGTCTTAATAAATAAATAAAACCGAAGTAGCTGTTACATTTGGAGACCCAAAATTGTGTACAAACATTATGACCTACACCCAGAAAATCAGGCAATTGTAAAAAATAAACAATCAAAATAGAATATAACAATGGGCTGCACAATTTGCTGGATGATGGGTTTTCCAACTTTTTTTTCCTATACTATCTAAATATCTGTAGTTAATACGGGTGCTTAAATTGAATACACAGAAGAAAGCAAAGTCCTACGCCTGTAAAACAATGTTAACGAGACAGATACTTAAAAGCTTCAAGATCATGTGGTTTCCTAAGGAAAATGGATGAAATTTAGGTGTGTTCTGATTGCCTCGTATCCATCGCCAAGTGAGGCGGTGCGAAAACCAATTGCTGTCGCCCAAGGTACCAGAGCCACTTGAAAACTGCTTTTACTCGAATTGGGGGACTCCTTGCACTGGGAAGGCCTAAAGCTCAAGGACCACCAAAGCTCAAGGTACACACCTACCTGCCAGGCCGTGGACGCTCCTGTCACCCCAACTCCACCCAGCTGACCTGCCCCTCCCCAAGCCGTGGCTGAGAGCACCTTCACTTCTTCCTAGCCTTCCCCACCAAACCAAAAGCAAGGACGGGGGGGGGGGGGGGGGAAGATGGTGGCGCGAGGAAAAGCACCCCCGCAAACCGCCGCAAACCTCCCTCCACCTCCTTCCAGAGTCGCGGAGCCACACCACCTCTCCCGAGCCTCGGGTCTCTAAAAGGCAAAATCTGCAACACCTAAGATTTATTTTTTTAGATGCTTTTAGGCACAGATAGCTTCCCCGCTCCCTTCCGCCCCTCACCTTCACGAAAGCAATCGGGGTTGTGGTACCTTCGATATCTAACAGGATTACGGTGACTTCGGCGGGCACCGAAACCACGACCATTTCCCTGCCGGATGCTAGCACGCGCTCGGCCTTGCTGGGAAGGAGGGCAGCACCGCCTGCGCCCCAGGACGTCTCGGGGTCCCGAGGGCCCAGCAACAATCGGGGCGCGGGCCCCAGCGAGCGACGGGAGGCGGGGAGGACGGGCCGCGCTCCGCGCTCCCGCAATCGCAGACCGAGCAGCCCGAGCCGACGGCACCCAGAGAGCAGGCGAGCGGCGCAGGCCCAGACCACGTGGGGCGGCGGGAGGGGCGGGGCCCCGGGATCCGAGGGGGCGGGGGAAGGCAGGGAGCGCGCGCCGATTGGCCGCCGGCGGGCGGCGAACGCGACCCGTCAAAATGGGCTTCGCGTGGGCGGGAACAAAGAAGCGAACGCCCGAGCCCGGAGCCCGGAGCCCCCAGCGTGGGCGCAAGCCCCTCCGCAGCCTGGTGGAGCCGGCGCGGGAGGCCCGGGGCACGTGCAGACGGGAGCCCCCGGCCTGGCGCGCCCGGGACGTGAGTGCCCCTCGCCGTCTCCGGCACCCGACCCCTTCCCCGCCCACCGCGCGCGCTCTGGCTCCTCTCCAGCCGTCCGAGCAGGCCCCGCCCTCCGCCGCGGCCACAGCCAGCCCGGGAGGCCGCACGGACCCGGGCTGCGGAGATCCTGCAGCCGAGGCCCCCCGGCCCCCCGAGGCGTCGGCGGGAGAGCCGTCCCCGCCAGGACGGCGCGGGGAGGTCGTCGCGCGCGCGCCGTCTGCTCGGCCGCTCGCAGCCGGCGCGAGGACAGAAGAGGCGGGCGCCGGGCGGGCGCGCTGCGGCTTCAGCGAGCAGCGCCGGGGGCACGCCGCCTCTCCACCGCAGCCGCCGGGCGTTAACAGCGGCCGCCGCCCCGCACCGGGCCAGGCGGTGGGCCGGACCGGACGCCGCGCGCGACACAAAGGGCTCGCCAGGCAAGAGGGACCGTGGCCCTGCGGCGGCGCCGCCCGGGATTCTCCGCCCGCGCGGCTCGCTCGTCGCATCCTCCCGGCCTCTCGGCCCGGCCGCCCCCGGCGCGACCGCGCTCCTCACCCGGAGCCCCGCGATGGAGGTCCCGCCCCGGCTCTCCCATGTGCCGCCGCCATTGTTCCCCTCCGCTCCCGCTCCCGCTCCCGCTCCCCTGGCCTCCCGCAGCCTCTCCCATTGGCGGCCGCGGGCGCCCCGGCAGCTCGCCCCGCTCCTCCCTTCGCTCGCTTCCAGCGGCTCCCGCCAGGGGGCGCGCCGGAGCCAGCGCCACGTCACCGCCCAGCAGCCCTCCCGATTGGCGGGCGGGGCGGCTATAAAGGGAGGGCGCAGGCGGCGGCCGGACCTCTTCCGCCGCCATTTTAAATCCGGCTCCATACAACGCTCCGCCGCCGCCGCCGCCGCCGGGACCAGGACTGCGCGCCAGCACCCCCTCGCCGACGGCTCCGCCACCATGGAGGACATGAATGAGTACAGCAACATAGAGGAGTTCGCAGAGGGATCCAAGATCAACGCGAGCAAGAACCAGCAGGATGACGGGTACCGCACGCTCCGCTCCTCCCCTCCCCCAGAGCCCCGCGCGCGCCCTTCGTCCCTCCGGAGCCGCGCGCGCTGCCCCCAGTCCTCCCCCGAGTCGAGTCTCCGCGTGCCCGCTGGACCCCAGTAGCTTCCCCACTAGTGGAAAGTAAGACGGGGTGACTCGAGAGGCCCGCCGAGGGTGGGGGAAGGGAGGAGGGGTTGGGGGAGGAGGGCGGCGCCGTCGGTGTCCCGAGTGCGCAGGCGCCGCGTGGGGCCGGGGGGGGGGGGGGGGCCGGGCTCCGGGCGCCACTTGGTGCAGCTGCCGCCGCCTCTTCATTGTGTGTTGATGCCGCTCGGGCGACTCTCCTCCGGGAGGTTTGGGGAACTTTGGTCTGGGCGCCAGTAGAGGACTGCTGTTGGAAAAAGTTCTTTAGGCGGCAAGCTGGCCTTAGGGCTGTGGGCGAAAGTCTGCGCAGGTTGCGGCGGATTCGGTGTCAAAGTTGTGCCTGGCAACCCAAAGTAGTCGGAGCAGAACCTCTCCCAGGTTTTATGTCGGTTCCTTTTAAGCTTCTGTGTTTGCACAGTAGCAAGCAACTGGCTTGAAGCAAGTGTTCTTACGATTTTTGTGGCCTGTTGTTCGTGTTTGTAAACAAAACATTGCTTGCATTTGGTGACTAAGTAGTTACCCTGTACAACTGAGTTTACTGTTAAGCCTTTCTTTTTTTAATAATTTTGTTTCTAGTAAAATGTTTATTGGAGGCTTGAGCTGGGATACAAGCAAGAAAGATCTGACTGAATATTTGTCTCGATTTGGGGAAGTTGTAGACTGCACAATTAAAACAGATCCAGTCACTGGAAGATCAAGAGGATTTGGATTTGTGCTTTTCAAAGATGCGGCTAGTGTGGATAAGGTAGGGCTGTGTTGTGCATTGTGGGTGTTGAGTTGATTCCAAATTGTTCCAGGCTTTTTTAAGTTCCTGTCAAACTAATTTGTCTTCTAGGTTTTGGAACTGAAAGAACACAAACTGGATGGCAAATTGATAGACCCCAAAAGGGCCAAAGCTTTAAAGGGGAAAGAGCCCCCTAAAAAGGTTTTTGTGGGTGGACTGAGTCCAGATACTTCAGAAGAACAAATTAAAGAATACTTTGGAGCCTTTGGAGAGGTGGGCTGTGTGTGTGTGTGTGTGTGTGTGCGCGCGCGCGCGCCTGTTTATACTCTTGCTCAGTCACGTTTGTGTAGGGTTCCTTAATATCTCACTGCTCAGGTGCCTCTTACTCACATCTTACTGCTGCTTTCTATGTTGTGGTGGAAACCAGTCTCTAATCCCTTTTAGCTGAAGCCCAAGGGCTTAAAGAGATGGGTGTTTTACCAACTGGGCTTCTCTGGGGTACAAGGTACTATAAAAAGATACAGCACAACTTTTTAGAACGTGTTGGCCAGTAGAATGTGTCTGTGATGTTTGTAAAGAGCTTGTGGTGTTCTGTGCTCTTCCATTAACTGGTGGTTTTGTTTTGATTGTTCACCTGCTTTCAGATAGAAAATATTGAGCTTCCCATGGATACAAAAACAAATGAAAGAAGAGGGTTCTGTTTTATCACATACACAGATGAAGAGCCAGTAAAGAAATTGTTAGAAAGCAGATATCATCAAATAGGTTCTGGGAAGGTAAATCAATTTAACCACATTGAGAAGTGTGTGTGAGAGAGAGAGAGAGAAACCTATTTGAAAAGATTGGTTTTGTGTTCAGAACTTAGCAAAGATTCTGTTTGTTTTTAGTGTGAAATCAAAGTTGCACAACCCAAAGAGGTATACAGGCAGCAACAGCAACAACAGAAAGGTGGAAGAGGTGCTGCGGCTGGTGGAAGAGGTGGTGCTAGGGGGCGTGGAAGAGGTGAGACAATTTGGGAGGATGGTAATTTTTTTTTTTATTTTTATTTTTATTTTTTTTTTTATTAAACTGAAGCAGTAAGCTGCTAGCTCAGTGGCCCATAAGAAAACACAGCTGGATTGAAACTTAGTGATTCCCAGCTGGTTTGTGGGGAGGAGTAGCTGCAGCGTGGGGACAGGAATGCATGGATTGTGTGAGGATTGGGACAGTCCCGAGTTGTTTTCTAACATCATCGTGCATTGTTTCAGGTCAGGGCCAAAACTGGAACCAAGGATTTAATAACTATTATGATCAAGGATATGGAAATTATAATAGTGCCTATGGTGGTGATCAAAACTATAGTGGCTATGGCGGCTATGATTATACTGGGTATAACTATGGGAACTATGGATATGGACAGGGCTATGCGGACTACAGCGGTAAGAACACTTCACTTAACTCTATAAACCAGTGCTATTAAAATTCAGTTTTGAAGTACTTTCCCATCCTGAAGTTTTGTGTGTGTGTGTGTGTGTGTGTGTGTGTGTGTGAGAGAGAGAGAGAGAGAGAGAGAGAGTGTGTGTGTTTTTAGTTTTTGTTAAGATGTTTGGGGTTTAGTCGTGTATAGATATGGGAAAGTAACAGTGATTTAAAATATAATTTACAACTGTTGACTATTACTGGGTATTAAGATTGATGTTTTAATGTTTAGCATGCATAGGCTTTTACACATGGGGTAGATATTTTTATATTTAAAATTAATTTTATAGGAAACTGTCTTAGTACAACTTCTATCCTTTCAAAATAGGTCAACAGAGCACTTATGGCAAGGCATCCCGAGGGGGTGGCAATCACCAGAATAATTACCAGCCCTACTAAAAGAGGACGATGGAGGAAAGCAGGTGTGTGTGAGATTACAAGAAAACATCAGCAGTGTGTAATTTAATTTAAAGATCAATAGACAAATGAAAAATGAGTAAACAATATGCTGTGTAGTCTTTACTAAATTGTTAATTTTTAATTGCTTTATGAGCCTGTTTTGCCTAAAGTGTCTATAGATCTTTAACTTTAAAGTCTTACCTCACCTTTTTTAGAATTACAGAAAAACTTAAGAGTTTTTCTGTTTGCTTTGTGTACCAGGAGGTGTAGAGGAATAATTAAACTTTTTTAGAACTATTAACAGGTAAAGTACTGAAATGGGTACAACTTAAGGAAAACAAGAATGTTGTCTTCTAACTCTGACATTATACCTTGTTTGTACCCGCCAGCGGGAACTTCATTGCAGGCCGTGTGTCACCCTGACCACGTCTATCTCTGGGGGTCGCACGTTGCGGGCAGAGCGCAAGGCATACACCAGAAAACGCTGTCCTGTGGTATGGTCTCTTCCAACTTCATGTACCAGCGTAAAGATTAAAGTGGAAAACTTCAGACTTTGGCTTCTTTTTTAATCTTTTTGGAGATTAAGTGTCTAAACTTAACTTAAATGGTTTTTTACAGGAGTTAAAGTACATAAATGCCTTTTTACAGCTTAATCATTTTGGTCTTCTGTTTAGTGTTGTATTTCAATTGTGGAGCCTCATTTTAAGTGTTCATTCTTTAAGATTTAATGCTTGCTTTTTCTTTTTATAGCTAATAGTGAAATCTACAAACCAAAACAAGAACTTTTAAATCTGGGATATAAGTTAAAGATCATATGCACACAGCAATTTATTGTCATGTTAATATTACAAACCTGCCTGTTTGTGATAGCATTCTTCTTGGCTTACTAGAGGTGCTTCTAGTTGGCCTTCATCTGCTAGACCTATAACTGGGAAGATTGCTTTCCCATGTTCTAAATTAAATCCACTTAATAT